CTCCCCCCGGTTGGTGCGTCCTCCCAGGTCGCTGCAGCTTGCTCGTGTCGGTCCCTCACTCACCCTCCCTTCTCTGGCACCACCCGCTTAGGTCACCCTGCTCTCCCGCGTCTGCGTCAACATGTCCCAGCACGGTCTTGTCTTAGGTCTCCCCGCGTCGCTCCCTGCCCTTCCTCCCTCGACTGCGCCACCGTGCACGCCTTGCGTCGAGGGTCGGCTCCGCCGTGCTCCTCACTCTCCTCGCTGCGTCCTGCTACTGCCCCCCTTCAGACCCTGCACTTGGACGTTTGGGGCCCTGCCCCGTCCCCGGACCGCGCGGTGAGCGCTACTTCCTTGTGCTTCGTCGACGACTACACGCGCTACACCACGGTGTTTCCCCTGGAGCGGAAGGCCGACGTGCCCGACGTTCTTCTCCCGTGGGTTGTGGCTGCGCGTCTCCACCGCGGTCTCCCCGTGTTGTGTCTCCACTCCGACCGTGGCGGCGAGTTCGCCTCTGGTCGGCTTGGACAGTTCTGTCGTGCGGAGGGCATCACCCAGTCGTACACGTTGCCGGACTCGCCACAGCAGAATGGGGTTGCTGAGCGCCGCATCGGCTTGGTCATGGAGGTCGCCCGACCTCCATGATCCATGCCGATGCCCCCCATTTTCTGTGGCCGTTCGCTGTTCGCTACGCGGCTCACCAGCTTAACCTGTGGCCACGCTCCCAGCGGCCGCAGGTTTCGCCGACCCTCCTTTGGACCGGGTCCCCCGGTGACGCGTCTGCGTTCCACGTCTGGGGCTGCCTTGCTCACGTTCGTGCCTCTGGCACGGACAAGCTCACTGCCCGCACTGTCCCCTGTGTCTTCCTCGGTTTCCCCCTGGACTCGTCTGACTGGCTTTTCTACCACCCGCCGTCTCACCGCTTCCTCCACTCTCGTGACGTCACCTTTGACGAGTCCGTCTCCTTCTACCGCCGCTTCCCTCACCGAGGTCTCCCAGTTGCCCCCCCTTTCCTTGCTCCCTCTCCCCGGTAGCCCCTGCCCCTCTCCCGCCTCGTCCTGCCCCGTCTGGTGTCTCCCACGTCACTCCCCTCCCGTCGGTTGTCCCCGTTGAGGAGTCTGCTGACTCTGGTGGTACCCCCGGTCCGTCCTTGCCGCGTCCCCCTTCCCCGGTGCCTCCGCCCCCACTGTCGCAGTCGCCGACCCCGCTGCCGCCGCCGTCGCCGTCGCGCCGCAGCCGTCGCCGCTGTCGTCGCCGCCCGCCGCCTGTCGCTGCCGCAGCCGTCGCCGCTGTCGCCGCCGCCGCAGCCGTGCCGCCACTGCCCGCTGCTCTCGGCCCCTGGGGGTGCTGGTGTGGAGGAGGGTGTTCGTCCTGCGGCTTCTGGGGGTGCCGCTGGTGTTGGAGGGGGTTCTCGCTCTGGGGTGTTGGTTCTGGGGGTGCTGCTGTTGAGTGTTCTGCCGACGGTCGTTCTGCCTCTGCTGGTCCGAGAGTTCCGGCCCAGCCGTCGTCGCCAGCGCAGCAGCCGTCGCCGCCGGTTTCCGCTCTCCGCCTGCTCGCCTTCCCTCCCCGGACCGCGCGCCGGTGTCTCCCCCACCGCCTCCTGACCTCCCTGTCTACGGTCCTGTGTTCCCGCCGCCAGACTCGTCTCCGGCCCGTCTTCCTCCTCGTTCCCCTCCTGTGTCTCCTCCGCTGTCCCCTGACCCTACCCTCCGTCTCACGTTTGGGCTCGCCGTCCTCCCGTGCCTCGTCCCGTCTCTCCTGTCCTGCCCCCCACCCTATGTTGCTCCGTTCCCACTCGTCTCGTCCTCCCCTCCTCCCGTCCCTCCTCCCCTCGTCCCTTGCTGTTGCACCTCCTCCGTTCTCTGACTACCTCCGTGCTGCTCGTCCCTTGTCCCTCGGGTCCTTGCCTCTCTTGTTACCGACCCTGCTGTTCCTGTCTCGCGCCTTGACGCGCTTGTCGCTGCTGTCGCTGACTTCGCTTCTACCCGCCGCCTTGACTACGCTACCGCTCTGGTCTCTGACCCTGCCCGTCCTCTGTCCGTCGGGGGTGCTCCTGCCCTTGGCAGTGACGTCCTAGAGGACAGGCAGTACGAGCTGGCTTTCCTTTCCGAGGCTGCTCCCCATCTCTGCTCCATGCTGTTAGTCCCTGAGGGTGACCCAGACGCCTTCGACATCCCGACCCCTCGCACCTACGCTGAGGCCACCTCGGGACCTTGGGCCTCTCAGTGGATAGCTGCCATGGAGCAGGAGATGGCATCTTGGAGATCCACCGGCACTTACGTCGACGCAGTTCCCCCGCCTGGGGTGAACGTAGTCGATGGTCGGTGGCTCTTCAAGGTGAAGCGCCCCCCTGGAGAGCCGCCTGTCTTCAAGGCGCGCTACGTGGCCCAGAGGTTTCAGTCAGCGCGAGGGGGTTGACTTCTTCCAGACCTTCGCCCCGACCCCGAAGATGACCACTCTTCGGGCGCTGCTACACGTAGCAGCACAGCGTGACTACGAGCTTCACTCCCTCGACTTCTCTACTGCCTTTCTTCAGGGCAGCCTACACGAGCAGGTCTACCTGCGCCGACCACAGGGCTTCACTGGTACCTTCCCTCCTGGGACCCAGTGGCTTCTCAGGCGCCCGGTCTACGGCCTGCGTCAGGCTCCCCGCGAGTGGCACGACACGCTACGTGCCACGTTAGCAGACCTGCAGTTCTTTCCGTCCTCTGCTGACCCTTCACTGTTTGTGCGTTCCGGCCAGACTCCGTTCTACATCCTTGTCTACGTAGACGACCTGGTCTTCGCTACTCCTGACAGGGACGCACTGGCCTCTGTGAAGGCTGAGCTGCTGAAGAGACACACCTGCACTGACCTTGGAGAGCTGCGTCGCTATCTTGGCCTGCAGATCTCTAGGGACAGAGCAGCACGCACTATCACTCTGACCCAGTCACACTTGGTGCGTCAGGTCCTTCAGAGGTTCGGTCTTCAGTTCTCCTCCGCACAGCCCACACCTCTACCGGTAGACCATGGGCTCTCTGCTCCCGTTCCTGAGGAGCCAGTAGAGCCCAGTGGCCCCTACGCAGAGCTGGTGGGTTGCCTCATGTACCTGATGACTTGCACTCGCCCAGATCTCGCATACCCTCTCAGCATCCTGGCTCGCTTTGTGGCTACAGGCAGACACCGACCTCAGCACTGGTCTGCCGCTAAGAGGGTTTTTGCGTTATCTTGCTAGTACATCAGGCATGGGGTTAGTGCTAGGAGGACGCAGGCCAGTGGTCCTTACTGGGCACACAGACGCTTCTTGGGCAGACGACGCTGAGACGCTCAGGTCGTCGCAGGGCTACTGTTTCAGCCTTGGTTCGGGTGCTATCTCTTGGAGATCCACTCGCTCGTCGTCTGTGGCTCAGTCTAGCTGTGAGGCTGAGATCTACGCTGGTGCCATGGCGGCACAGGAGCTCCGCTGGCTGACCTTCTTGCTCACAGACTTAGGTGAGCGGCCTAGCTCTGCCCCGGTCCTGTACGCTGACAACAGGGCCATGATACTCCTGTGTCAGGAGCCTCGGCTTGAGGGCAGAGCGAAGCATATCCAGCTGCGGTACTTCCTCCTGCGCGAGCTACAGCAGCGCCGCCAGGCCCGCGTAGTTCACTTGGCCTCAGGTGCCAACACAGCTGATATCTTTACTAAGGCGCTTGCGCCTAAAGATCATCAGCGGCACTGTGTACAGCTTGGTCTTGTTCCTATAGCTGCTCCCCTGTTAGGATCCTGATTGTGTACTCTCTATTATATATGCTTGTCAGACTGGCCTTGTGGCCTTACCTCCAGTGGCTGGACTAGTAGTGTCACCCTGGCTTGCTTCAGTTTTGGTTGTATTCTTGCTGACTGGTCTCCAGACCCCTGCCTCAGTGGTTGGACTAGTAGTGCCGCCCTGAGCTGTTTGCTTCTTGTTTAGTTTCACCCCTTGTCTAGCCTAGGGGGTGTGTCAACTTATACATATTATCTATGTAGAAGTTATAGGCTAGACTGAGGTATGCTTCTAGTGAGTACAACCAACTAGTATTTGTTCTAGGTTTCCACCTCTAGTAATCATTCGTTTCTACGTTAACACCCTTCTTGTACGTGATTTGATAAGCGAACTTTGACTCTCTATAATCCAACCAACAAATCTGTCGCGGGTTAAGATTCGGTTGCACTCGCAAGTACAGTAGCGATTTATGATATGTTTGTGTAGTCACGTTGGCTCCTATCAGGTAGCATCGCCAGAACTTGAACGCGCGCACGCTTGCCAATTTTTTTTTGTCGTGTACGTCATAGTTTTGCTCGGCCGCCTACAACTTCCGCGAATCATACGCGATCGCTTGAAGGTCGTCGCCAAAACCCTGTAGCAGAACTGCTCCGATGGCGATGTCACTTGCATCTATCACAACCCCGAATGGTTGTTTTGGGTCAGCAATGAGAAGAACCGATGGCGAGATTAAAACATTTTGTAATCCGTCAAATGCACCTTGCTGTTTCTCCCCCTACTGATAATCAGCCCCTTTATGAAGGAAGTCTGTTGGTGGCCTAGTTGACCCCCCCTTGTTGGGGATTAACCGGCGCATGTGATTGGCGAACCTAAAAAACGATTGCAGGTCCTTAAGATTGGTCGGCGACTTCCATTCCTGTTTAGCCCAAATTTTGCAGGGGTCGATTTTCACGCCCTTGGTCGAAAAGACGTGCCCCAAAACTCCTGTTTGGATTCCAAAATTCGCACTTTGAGCCTTAGGTGATGGGACAATTCTATTGCAGGAGTTCAAAAACCGTGTCAAGATCCTTTAAGTGCTGCTCCCATGTCGTGCTGTAGATCAGAATGTCATCCAGATAAATGAGCATACATTTTTCCAGTAAGTCTCAGAATACCCCGTTCATTGTCAGCTGGAGGGGACATTCGTTAACCCAAATGACGGTGTATTCGTGACTCCCATAGCAACTACGAAACGCGGTCTTGTGGCAGTCGTCAGCGAAAACACAAATCTGATCGTAACCGCTACGAGGTCGATCTTCGAAAAATAGCGAGCGCCTCGCAACTAGTCAATCAATTCGTCCGCACGCGGGATTGGGTAGCGAGATTTTATCGTAACCCGATTAAGGGCGCAATAATCAATGCACATTCGAAAACCCCCGCCTTTTTTCAGTGTGAACAGGATCGGGGCGGCGAACGGGAACGTGCTGGAATGAACGAACCCTTTTGCCAACAGATAATCCAGCTGGTCCCGCAGTTCTTGGAGCTCGGGTTGCGTCAGCCACCACTGTGTCCGTACAGCTGGCAGTGTGCTAAGTTCCAGTTCAATCCGATGGTCTTGGGGGCATTCCGATGGCAGTCCATGTGGCAAGTTTTCTGGAAAAATATCTGGGAACTGTCAAATCTGCTTCCCCAGATCCTCAAATACTGTTGCGCAGAGTTTGTCAATGTCGGCCGACTGCTTGCTGCCCGTCGATTCTTTCAGATGAACGGTGTAGATTTCCTCGTCTTTCTTGACCGCTCACGTCAACATAATCGCGTTGACACGGATCGTCGTCGGCTCTGCTCCACGCCAGCTCGGAAGTTTCTGTCAGCCGTTCGCACATTTCACTGTGCTCTCACCAGTCGTCCAATCGATTTGCGGATTGGGCTGTCGAAGCCAATCTCGTCCTAGTAGCACATCATATCCATCGTTCATTCCACCAGCAGCACATCGTAGGGGGGTCGTTTCCCAGCTTATCCCCATTGTACTACAGTGAAGTCAGTTGTAACTTCCTCGAGTCCAAAAGTCGGAGAGCTACAGTGTGGCTAGAAGGCCGATTGCCCGACATGAAGAGAAATTGATTTTAAAAGTGCATCAAATAGATGTTGGTAATGGAACTGAAAAGGATCCCAAGGAGGAAATGTGGGTTCCAGTGAAATCCACTTGCTCAAAATGCCTTGTAAAAACAATATCCCGTAAGTAGGGATGGTTTACGTCAGCAGGAGACTTAGGGACCCTTGTACTGTAAGAACATTATACTAGATAAGGATAATAAAATGATAGTAACAGCAGGCACATTATACATAGCAGAAGCAGTGCTTATTGTGAAGTAACATCTTTAAGAAACCTCCCTATCAATCACTTTCTGTAACCTTATGTCGCACCTTCTCGCTACAACCTCTCGTTGTACTGTTCATACGTTGACTCGGGTGGCTGTTGCCACCCGCTCGCGTCTTCTCTATGAGGTAACACGAGACTTCGGTTGTGCACGTCCTCTATATTAGGTAATGCACTACTTATCAGCAAGCATAGCCGGGAATGCTACTTAGGTTGTCTCAAGAGAACCTTCAACAAGCCATTTTCATATGTACATCTGATTATGGATGGAACGTGTAGATGCTAGATGTCCCAATGTAGGCTTGCATATCTTGGAACTTCTTCCGGGCATAAACGGGCCCCTAGGTTCGTTTTAGGCCACACTGATTTATCAGTTTATATTTTCAAAGTGTCCTAAGAAACTAATGTATCCTTAGAACCTCCTCCTAGAGTCTATGATCCTTAGGAGCTAAATTGAGCATGACCCATTGCTACGAGGCAGATTGAATCCAAGGAGTGAAGTTTCAACCAAGTCACAACCATCCCTAAAGAATCCGGGAGTTCACCCTCTAGAAGCATTCCCAACCCATCCAACCAATATACTCTACACTACTCACTCTAAAATCTAACTTCTATAAGTGTGTTAATTGGAGCAACCTAGATACTCTCATAATTCCAACATAGATTAGGCCCCACAATATCAAGAATTGCAACGGTTGTTGACTGACCGACAGTCGAACCAACGGAAGTCCAAGGGTCCGTCACGACAACAAGGCCACATAACTGACCCTGCAATGCAGTGCAGGCAGGTACCCGAGTCGTGTACAGTTACTCGAGTCAGATATGGAACCATAAAGGGAATGTACCCCTGTTAAGCGCATCTTAATTAGACCCTTCGCATTCTCTTGTGTCACTATATTAACCTTGTATCCCTCTGCTATAATCAATACTGTTATGTTACATTAACTCTAACAGGGTTCATCGAACCAATCAATCGCTTCCGCAAAGCGCACTACTGCAGTTCAATCCTGAAGATCCAATGGACTATATTGGATCGCTTCATGGTAAATCGTGTCTATCAAGATTCTACGCACGACACTATTGATCAGTTTCAAATTCAAATATCGTGGCGCCAGTGACTCGCTCCCGCCACAGAATGGCCCCGGGCTCGGGATCACGAGGGCAAGGAAGCCCTCATCCTGAAGCACCTGCAAACACTCCGAATCCGGCGGCAATAACATCCGTCCCCACAGGACTCCTAAAAAAACTGCTCCAACTAATGACAACTCTTGGAGGTGGACTTCAATCTCTCAAGATCGACGGTTCGAGCACAGCTCGCCAAACCACTGAAATGCAACCAGTCTCTTTAGACAAGGACTCCACTCCTAGCTTCTTAAACTTTGATGCTTCCAACACGCAACCATCTGCAAGCGTACGATAAGTGACGAAGCCCTGCACATAGCACAATCGAAGTCCTTCGCTGTTTCTAAGATCAGAACAAGCTCAATCTTCGACGGTCGTGATTTCTACACCTGGAGTTTCGAGTTCGAGCTACTATTGCAGACCGTTCAAACCTTCTGCTATCGACGGATTTTTCCCCGGATCGGCGATCGACACCGAAGATGCAAAACAACAATATTACAACGAATTGCTAATATGGGAAAGTATATTGGCGCTCAGTACTAGGGGCCTCGATAATATGTACGGTCAGTAACACGGTATAAACAATCAGAATCAATGACTTCGCAACATGTTTCATCAGTCGGGTTCCACCGTTAGTCAGAAACTGCAGGAAAAAGTTCCACGAATGGTCATTAGAAGTAACCCCCGCCCGTCTCGGAATGTTTTCCCGCTCGCGCCAGCCCAATCTCGTGATCATTGTGGCTGGCACGATATTTTTCCCGAGCTCCAGGCGCAGTTTGAGAGAACTACGTAAACTATTGCCAAATGAAATAGCATTGGGTGTCGCGCACACAAAATTCCAAAATTGAGACCTTGCGCATTTGTGTCACATAAGCTAATTGGGCCACAGCGGGCCGCACATCGGGTGCGACATTTTTCAAATATTAACGAGCGCACAAAAAAGACAACATTTGATTCGAAAGGGCAAATCCATCTGGGATCGGCACTAAGCCAATGAGGCGTGAATATTCTACTGTAGTGCGCATGCGGTAATTTGTTTCGAGCATGACATGACCTGTAGAGTCGTGATTTGGCAGGAAAACTTTTAGGGTAAATACATTTGTTGAAAAAATATATTTCAAATGACAACCGACAGACTTCTAATAGAATTGTTGTATTAATACAAAATGAAATGTGGTTATGAGAGTACCTTGATGCGCTTTTAAACATATTCATCTCAAAAAAAAAACTTCCGTAGGTATCTATACAGCGACGGAAGAAATTGTCCATATCTCAGCCTGTGTAGGCGAATAATCGTTTGTAGTGTTTAGAGATGCAGCTTATTAATTGCCTGGTTTTAAGGTAGAGTTAGACATATGCCTATACAAGACTGTCACGTGGGAACTAGCCCTGAAAATACAGTATAACGTTCCTGGGCAAAATCCATACACACACAAGTACACTCGGACAGTTTGTGCCATGTTCAAACTATGCAAAAGACACACTTGAAATCAGTACCTAGTCCATTTTCCCTTAGCCCTGACCACCGCCTTCACCCTCCTAGGCATACTATCAATGAGCCCCCTGCACACATCAGCATCTATCCCCTCCCAGATCTCCTGAATCCGCTCCCAAGTCTGGAGGGGGGGTGCTCATACTTGGACAGCTCGCGTTTGAGATGGGCCCACAAGTGCTCGATGGGGTTGAGATCTGGGGATGAAGAGGGCCACAGCAGGACTGAATATTCCTGCTCGGACAACCACTCTTGCACAAGGCGGGACTTGTGCTTGGGGTCATTGTCATCCTGGAAAATGACATCAGAGGTATTAAGGTCATAAAAGTCAATGGTTTGTGCAAGCTCATCCTGCAAGATGCTTCGATACAGCTGCCCGTCCATACGACCCTCAATTTTACACATGTATCCAGGGCCATCATACGTCATACACCCCCATATCATGACTGACCCACCCCCATGCTTTACTGTTTGTTTTATGTGTTGCCCTTGAAGAGCCGCCCCGTCGCGAATCCATGCGTACGACCGGCCGTCACTACAGAAACGGTTGATCTTGGTCTCATCAGACCAGACCACCCGCTTCCAGTCGTCCACGGTCCAGTCAACGTGGGCCTTGGCGAAATCTAGTCTGTCTCTGATGTTACGAGCGGAGAGACGTGGCTTCTTCGGTTGCTGGACGGCGACTAGGCCAGACAGTTTGAGGGCGTTGCGGACTGCTCTGGGGCAGATCTTAATGCCGTGGTCTGTTTCCAGTAGCTTTGCGGCTTCTACGCTAGTCTTCACCTCGCCTGAAGTCACAGCGCGAACAAGGATGCACCTGTCACGTACTGAGAGTAGGCGTGGCCGGCCAGACCTCGGGACTGTTGGCCTAACCGCTTGGCTGCTGGTGCGCTGAGAGGCCTCTTGAGCGTATTTCTGAACTGTGCTCTTCCCTATCCCTAGCATTCTAGCGATCTGACGGAAGCTATGACCGCGTCGAAGCAAGGTCGCGATCCTATCTTTCTGGCGTGAAGCAAGAGGCCGCATCGTTGCTATGAGCCTAGCGGGGTTCACGGTATGCCGTCGATAAAGACTAGGAGGCTAGGTTTGCGAGCTCGCAAACTGCCGAGAGAAAATAGACCTAGACTAGAATCGGGAGCTAATTGTCCGCATCGAGTCTCGCTAGCAAAGTGGTGGACTCACTATAAGCAGTTCGATAAAACGTACAGTAACATACAGCATAAGGATGCTTCACTCCTAGTTCACATGGTACAATGGGTAATTGGGGATAAATGTACACGATACATGCTGAAAATACAAAATCTTCTGACTAGTGTACCTTTTCTAGCCCAATTAATTCCGTCGCTGTATATGTTTATATTTTTAGGCGACTAGGGAATGATGACAAGTTATGGCTTGACTTTTATTTTGGGGCCGTAAATGCGGCAGAGACAAAGCCGACATTCTTAAGCATCGTGGGACGCACTACACTCTGCGATGAAAGTACGCGTTTCGAAACAAAATCGTGTTTTCATGTTTCTCGACTAACTCATGTTCAACGAACTTTAATTTGGCTATTTTGCGCTTTTTTCGCTCGAACTGCGCCTGGAGCTCGGGAAAAATATCGCGCCAGCCATAATGATGACGAAATTGGGCTGGCGCGAGCGGGAAAACGTTCCAAGACGAGCGGGGGTTACTTCTACGGACCATTCGTGGAACTTTTTTGCTGCAGTTTCTAACGAACGGTGGAACTCGATTGATGAATCATGTTGCGAACTCGCTAATTCTGATTCTTTATATTGTGTTACTGATCGTACATGTTATGGAGGACCCTAATATTGAGCGCCGATATACTTTCCCTGCTAATATCGTACAGCGTACTTTTACGGAACATATCCGCCTCCGAGAAACTCGGAATTCGATTATTCAAAACCCGCGCCGCTCCGGCACGAGACTCCTGGCTGTACCTGACAAACCTCTATCAGTTAAAGGACTTCGTGTCATCGAGTCAACTGCTCAGCCAGCTACTAGAAGTGAAGATGGTCACGGGAGTGAAGGCCAACACCTACATCATTCGCCGCCAAAGCATCCGCGACCATATCGTCAAGCTCGGGAACACATCACAGAAGACATGTTTGTGACAATCGTGCTCGCTGGACTTACCCCTGAATGGCGACCATGCAAGGCTCTACTACGCCAATAGGGCAAAATTTCCGAAGCGACCCTTTGCGCAACACTGCTGGCTGAGCAGCAGGACATGGATCTCTACAAGGAAAGAGCCCCGTGCACAGAAAGGTTAGCCTTCTACTCGGGCCAGAAGGAGCCTCGCCGCGACACGTACAGTCGCCAATACTTTTGCAAACACTGCAAAACCTTCAGACACTCTACCGAGCGCTGCCAAAACCGAGCGAGAAGCAGCTCAAGACCATCCTACATGCCTAACCCAAGTGGAAGTCAATGGGGTCAATCCCACCAGAAGAGACCCATCGATGCTTCCCCCCCAGGACCCGCGCCAGACCAGTCCTGTACCCTCCTGCATTATCGGACCCTCATCCGACTAAGCCACGCTCACATGGTCAACCTACCCATCGCCAGGTCTTCATGGTGATGCGAACTCAGGGGCCCACACGTCGAGCAAATCGACGTCGCCGCGTCCAAGCAAAGGAGACTTCGCCCCGGCCATACCGGCCTACGACTACAACAACCCCTACAACGAGCATGGCAACTACGAGATCGATGAAGAGGAGCTGGAATGGAACCTTCCCATTCCTCTGTTGACGATACCTTATATCACCGACACGACATTCGGAGGCGACGGACAAGGCTGGGACGACTTCCCAAGGGACCATCGCATGCACAAGTCAAACAAGCCCTACCTGCGGACTTCGAGGATCGTGATGATCACTCGCGACAACTGCGAAAACTACAACACCTGGTACCTGGACAGTTTCTAGGGACAACACATGGTTGGGTTTGCACGCTTCATCTCCAATACCGTCCCCACCCCCGCTGCAGCCTGCATCACTGTAGCCAACAACAAATGGCTAGTGGCCAAGCACCAGGGGATCGTTGTCCTCCAGGCGCACAACACCCTGACGCACATCACTCTGAATGATGTGCTCATCATTCAGAACCTGCGCTACAACCTACTCTTAATGGCTCAACTGATGACTTGCGGTGTTGAGGTCAGCACCGACCCCTGACGCCAAGACTCTCACTCCTACCACTTACCAACTCTACCAGCAGCAGCTCGAGTGCCTAATGTTCGCTGATGTCACTTGCCGGCCCGACCTATCCTACATCGCCAGCCAGCTCGCCCAGTACTCTCCGCGACCTTAGGGGGAGAACCTCCTAGATCTACAACGAGCAATTTTCTATTTCATTTCGACTCCCCACATCGCCCTCACCTACTCCACCATATCCACACCCACATTCCAACTCATAGGCTCTGACGACGCAGACCCCGCTAACCGCCGCTCTCGCACAGGATTTCTCTTTCGACTGGAGCCAACTGGACCTATCTCCTAGAACTCACTTAAGAAGGAGCTTATTGCCCTCTCCTCGGCTAAAGCAGAGTACATCGCAGCAACCTCTGCTGTTCACGAAGGTCTTTACCTACAAGAACTGCTGCAAGAGGTGAAGCTCAGCACTTAGCCAACATTCAAGTTACATATGACAACCAGAGCGCAATCAAGATTGCCAACAAGCCCGACTTCATTAATCGCACAAAGCACATTGCTCTGCAATACTTCTTCGTCAAGGACAAAATCGACAAAGGAAAAGTGGACCTAACATACTGTCCCACTGGTGAGATGGCAGCTGACTTCCTCACCAAGAAGCTGCCACATCAACAGTATGTGCAGTGCGTCGAGCTCTGTGGAATCTCCAAGCACGCCAAGCTCGAGCACCTTCACCTAAGTGTCACGATAAGGAATTCGTTACATTTCTGAATGTGACACTCGAGCCGTAACCCTTGTCGAGTCCAAGCTTATGAAGCGATGCACGAAGTGCAATGGTCATTGACCGTTGACCGACAGTCGAACCGACAGAAGTCCAAGGGTCCGTCACGACAGCAAGGACACATAAACGACCCTATAATGCAGCGTAGGCAGTTGCTGTACCCGAGTCGTGTACAGTAACCCGAGTCGGATCTGGAACCACAAAGGGAATGTACCCCTGTTAAGTGCATCTTAGTTAAATCCTTCGCATTCTCTTGTATCACTATATGAACCTTGTATCCCTTTGCTATTATCAACAAGGTTATGTTACATTCACTTTGACGGGGTTCATCAACCAATCAATTGCTTCCGCAAAGCGCACTACTGCAATTCAATGCTGAAGATCCTATGAACTATATTGGATTGACTCACTTTACTATACCAACCCTGGAAAATCAGCATTCAAAATGAAAAAACTAGGGCCAACTAGTAAGAAAACTAGCCCTGATTTTCATGGTGTACTCTGGTGTCAACACGGATGAATTAGTGTGGCCTAAAACGAGTCTCGGGGCCTGGTTTAGATCCTACAATCAGTGTTGGCACTAGTTTTCTTACTGGTTGGCCCAAGCCTTTTCGGTTTGAAGGCCGATGTATTAGGGCCGATACAAGAGAACCCAAAAGCAGCTCATAGAGTTTGATGGGGATGTCCCATGTGTTACTCGTGCTAGTATGGGAGAAGGGTTGTTGCATGGATGGAAACGTGGTGGTAAGCATTCATGTGGTAGGCAAACCCCGAAAGTTTGAACTCTTCAATGAAACTGCATGCAACAGGGCGAGCTTGTATTCAGTACCTCACCTCTGCCTACAGCATGACTGATAATACTCATTTGTGAGCATGTATGAGGCTGTCTCAAAGTAGCAAAATAACTAGAACAAGGTGATACAGGGGACACATAGGGTTGGACACAAACCTATCTACCCTATAAATTTGACATACAAAGCATATGGATAAGTTGACACACCCCCTAGACTAGATAAGGGACAATGCCTACCATAAGATGCACAGCTCAGGGCGGCACTACTAGTCCAACCTCTGAGATAGGGGTCCAAAGACAAGTCAGCAAGAGTACAAACTAAACAAGTGTAATCCAGGGCAGCACTACTAGTCCAACCATTGAGACAAGAGCCACAGGGCTAGTCAAGATGATATTAGTAGTAGTACACAAGTCAGGGTCCTAGCAAGTGAGGAGCTACTGGAACTAGACCAAGCTGTAAGCAGTGCTGCTGATGATCTTTCAGCGCAAGCGCCTTGGTAAAGATATCAGCTATGTTGGCACCAGAGGCTAAGTTTACTAAGCGTGCTTGGCCGCAATGCTGTAGCTCAAGCAGAAGGAAGAACCGCAGCCAGATGTGCTTTGCTCTGCCTTCTAGTCAAGGCTCCTGACACAGGAGGTTCATGGCCCTGTTGTCAGCGTACAGGACCGGGGCAAAGCTAGGCCGCTCACCTAAGTCAGTGAGTAAGAACGTCAGCCAGTGGAGCTCCAGTGCCGCCATGGCACCAGCGTAGATCTCACCCTCACAGCTGGACTGTGCAACAGACAACGAGCGGATGGACGTCCACGAGATAGCGCTTGTACCAAGGCTAAAGCAGTAGCCCTGGGAGGACCTGAGCATCTCAGTGTCGTTTGCCCACGAAGCATCTGTGTGCCCTGTGAGAACCATTGGCCTGCATCCTCCCAGCATGAGCCACATGCCTAATGTACTTGCTAGATAATGCAACACCCTCTTAGCGGCCGACCATAGCTGGGGTCGGTGTCACATGATCGAATGTCTCGTGGACAGGTTGCACTATCGATCGATACAAGGTGCTTTTATACTTCCAGAGTACATCAGGTAACCAGCTTTATCCTATCCGAAGGGAATAGACCCTTCTAGAAATAGAATCACCCTGCTTATAGCCACGCGAGGCTATTGGTTTTAAGGGATTATGGCAAGATTACGCTAGATATAGCGCGCCAGTACATCCCAAGCCTGGTCGGTGATATAATTATAATAACAGGATAACCCAAAGGATAATGGAAAAGGAGGAATAGGAATCCAAATGGGATGAAATAAAGACCAAATGAGTCAAGAGAACAAGAAGAATCGAATGGAGGGAAAATATAGTAATGAGAAAGGGGTCGTACTCGTACAGTCGGTGTCTGCCTGTCGCAACAAAGCGAGCAAGGATACTACTGTATGAGGGTATGTGAGAAATGGACGAGTGCAAGTCATCAGGTACATGAGGCAGCCCACAAGCTCTGTGTACTGACCACTAGGCCCGACTGGCTTGTTAGGGACTGGAGGAAAGAGCCTGTGATCCTCTGGTAGAAGGATGGGCTATGCGGAGGAGAATTGAAGGCCGAACCTCTAAAGAACTTGGCGCACCAAGTGTGACTGTGTGAGAGTGATGGTGCGCGATGCTCTGTCCCTGGAGATCTTCAAGCCAAGGTAGCGGCGCAGCTCTCCTAGGTCAGTGCACGTGTGTCTCCTCTGCAGCTCGTTCTTCACCGAGGCCAATGCGTATCTGTCTGTTGTAGTAAAGACCAGGTTGTCTACGTAGACTAGGATGTAGAATGAAGTCTGTGTTAGAATTAAGGACGGAGTCTAGGTGAACTTAGGAGCTAGAATTACTCAAAATATATATCCGAAATTCTGGACAGAAAAGTCGTCTTCACAAGAAACGACGTCGACAAAAACCTAGCCGTTGGAATGTCGCGAAACTTGGATATGTTGTAGCTCTTAATCTCAGCTACCGTTCCCAATTTGAATCACGTTGATTGATGAAGTATTCGCGACGCTATGGCTTTCGACGCACTAGGGGGTAAGCTGTAGGAGGAGAACTTAACTCAATCTCAAGAGTTCAATGAAAGTTCAAGAATCTCACAAGGAATTAGAAGGAGCAAGAGAAAGGTTGGGATAGGAAGAGAGGGATGAGAGGGAAGGTCCCAAGAGAGTCCCCAACCAAGGAAACCCCATAAGCACAAAGATTCCCTCCCTATAGGAACCCCAACTTTGACATTTGTCCCTTCCCAACCAATCCATCCAAGTTGGCCACCCTTGCCAACCTAGCTTGGTTGTTCCCAACCAATTTGCAGCTGTTACAGTAGAGTGACAAGTTTCCCCAACCCCAAAGGTCCCAACTCCATATAGAGTCACCCCACAACTTCACTTTGTAACCGCCGCAATTGTAACGCAAGCTCATGAACTTTGAATCTTCATAGCTTTCGCGTTCTTGCTCCGATTGAAGGGATTCTCGTTGCGTCGGAAAGATCTTCTCAAGATCTATCATCACAAAAAACCTGCTCAAACAAAATAACACAAAACACATTCCCAAACTCCAGAACACATCACACACAAATTCTTGCACACGTTCAAACCACACATGCAAGTTGAAAAAAATATGGGATGGGAGGCAGACAGAATGTGATAGCATATGATGACATCACACAACAATCTCCCCCTCTGGCTGCCAACCATCATCCACCATACCAACATCTCAAGCATGCATACTCAATGCACACTCATCCCAGCAAGCTTCATGCCCTTCCAATGATCCGCCTCCGCCAGACGCTTGGTGAAAATATCTGCTGCCTGCTGATGGGTCTTCACTATCTCCAGCCGCACCTCCTTATCAAGGAGTCTCCTCACCCAGTGCCACTTAGGCCTTATGTGTTTTGTCAGCCCATGCAGACAAGCATTCTTGGCGAGCTTCACAGCAGACTCATTGTCACAGAACACAACTGTCGGCTCCTCCTGACCAACTCCCAACTCCTCCAACAAACGCCTCAGCCATACCACTTCCTTGGCCCCATGGTGTAAGGCCATGTACTCAGTCTCACATGAAGTCAATCCCACCTCATTCTGCTTCTTGCTGCGCCAGCTCACAGCACCACCTCCTAGCAAGCACACATAACCCCCAATGCTGGTGCCATCCGCTTTCACTGAGTTGAAGCTAGCGTCAGTATAGCAACTCAAGAGCATCTCACCACTCTTCACATCTGCAGCACCTCTCTGCAACCGCTGCCTCACTCCACTGTACTCCAATCCCACTGATGCCGTAGCACTCACATAGCGGACCAACCTCTTGGCCGCTTCCAGCTGCTCATGACTAGGGCGTGAGACCACACTAGCCAACCGTGATGTAGAAAATGCAATGTCAGGCCGTGTATGATTTGCAGCATAATTCAGCGACCCAACCATCGAATGAAACAGCTTCCTGTCACTCTCACCCACTACCTCCTCATCAGCACATGGCTCCACAGTAAACCCTGAAGGTAGTGGTGTTGCTGGCTTTCCCCCATCTTGCAGCCCATACTTCTCAGCCAGCCCCTCACAGTACTTCCTCTGGTGCAACCTCAGCACACCCTTTTCCACATCTCTCTCCACATGCATCCCCAAGTAGTACTTCGCCTCACCCATCTTGGAGCACTTGAACTGCATCTCCAGCATCTGCTCTGCGCTGTCCAGCAAAGCAGTGGATGCAGAAAAGAGAAGGATATCATCCATATACACCAAGAGCATGAGGATTTCGTCCTTCTCCTGCAGCAGGAACAGGCTGGGGTCACACTCACTCTTCTTGAAACCCCCAGCCACCAGCGCCTCCTCCAACTTGTGATACCATGCACGAGGCGCCTGCTTAAGGCCATAGATTGCCTTCTTCAGCCTGCAGACCCTGCCGCTCCCATCATCCAGCCCCTCTGGCTGCTTCATGTACACCTCCTCCAGAATGATCCCATTCAGAAAGGCAGTCACAATGTCCATCTGCCGTATCTTCCATCCCAGGAGTGCAGCTATCGCCAACAGCACCCTCAGTGTTGTTCCTTTCCCCACAGGAGCAAATACCTCATCATAGTCCTTCCCTTTTGTCTGCTGAAACCCCCGTGCCACAAGCCTAGACTTGTATCGGGTCAGCTCCCCTTCAGGTCCATACTTGTGCCTGTAGATCATCTTGGAAGTGATTGCCTTCTTTCCAGGAGGCAAGTCACACAGGTCCCATGTCTCGTTCTCAATCAGGGACCCAAACTCCTCATCCTCACTCGCCTTCCACTTCTCCCCATTTGGTCCATTCAAGGCCTCCTCTCGAGTCTTGGGCTCAGGGATTGGTGCCCAGTAGCAGTGAGCGATCTCATCTTCCTCAATCTGCTCAACCACACTCCCAGCCTGCACCACATTCGGCTTGCCTCTTCCCCATAGGTCAGCCTCACCGGAGGGCGCACATCCCTCCTAGGTCGCTCAGGCGGGTGTGGAACTCGAGATGGAGACTCATGCTGCTGCTGCTGCTGCTGCTCTACTTCAGCTGCTCCCCCTTCCTCAGTCACCCCAGACATCTCCTCCTCTGACACTGCAACCTCCACCTGTCTTGAAGGGTGCTGCACCTCATCTGCCTCCACAATGAGCGGTGTAGATGGAAGCTTCTGTTGCTGCTGCTTCCATTCCTTGTAGTACAGGGACTCAAGAAACTTCACATCCCTTGACACTGTCAACTTCTGGGTGGTCAAGTCCCATAGCAGCCACCCCTTGTGATCCTTTGCAATCCCCAAGTGCACACCCCATCTTCCAGAAGCCTCCAACTTCCCCCTTTTCTCCTTAGGCACATGAAACACCACCATGCACCCAAATGCCCTCAGCATGTTCACAGCTGGAGCACTCCCATACCACTTGACATATGGGATCCACTCCTTATCTCCAACTGTAGCCAGCACCCTGTTCTTCACAAGGGCGACCTGCCTCAGTGCAGACACCCAAAACGGATCAGGCAGCCCTGCACGCCCAAGGAGAGTGCGTGCCCCCTCCTGCAGGGTCCTGTTGAACCTCTCAGCCACGCCATTCTGCTGCGGGTTGTAGGGCACTGTCAGTTGATGCTGGATCCCCTTCCTCTTCAACTCCCCCTCAAAATCAGCTCCAATGAACTCCCCACCATTGTCACTGCGGATCACCTTCACCTTGTATCCGCATTCCCTCTGAGCTCTAGGCATCCACTCCTTAAGGACAGCCGCTGCCACCTCCCCCTTGCTCTTCAAAGGGTAAACCCACACTGCCCGAGTGTGGTCATCCACAATTGTCAAGAAATAGCGGCTGCCTGAGAGGGAAGGCGCTCTTGTGGGCCCCACCACATCCATGTGCACAAGTGCAAGTGGGGTCTTGGCTGGTCCTGTAGTGCTGTTGAAGGGGAACTTGGAGAACTTGGTCTCCAAGCATGTAGGGCAGCTCCCAATCTCCTTCACTTCCCCTTTCACCTCCAAGCCCTTCAGGCTCCCATTCTTCACCAACTTCTGCAGCATAGGGAAGTTCACATGACACAGCCTCTCATGCCATGTCTCCCAATCGGCCTCTCCACTCCTTGATGAAGCCTTAGCCCATGCCGCACTCGCATCCACACCAGCAAGCACCTCACCATGTGTCTGCTGCTTCTGCACTTTCTTGACTGCTTCCAGGACCCCATCAGTTGGTGCAGTTGCATCTCCTCCTGCTGTTGCCTTTGCCGCTGCTGCCGTTGCTGCTGTTGGAGTCTTCCCATTCCATGGGATGATGGGCAGCTGCCACAGGTCCTTGATGCAGCTGGTCTCCTCTTCCAGACTCCACAGCACCTTCTTCCCAAGCTTAGCACGGCAGCTGGTTGGTCCAAAGGTCACTTCGGCCTTGCTCTTCTGCAGTCGTCGCACAGAGAGAAGGTTAGCAGACAAGCCTTCAACCAGCAGAACATTCCCAAGCCCCACAAGCTCCCCATTAGCTCCCTTAACCTTGGCATTCCCAACACCAATCACAGGGAGCAAAGCACCTGACGCTGCTGCCACATACTTGATCTTCCCAGGGGGTTTTACCTCATCAAGCAAATCTGCCCGTGGGGTCATGTGACTGGTGCACCCTGAATCAATCACCCAGTGTGTGAGAGGGTGCATCACAACCTTTCCCACTGATCCCACATCACCCTCATGCCCATGCACATCCTCAACCATAAGATACATCCCAGGATAGGCGTTACCTTGTGCACCTTCACCTTGTGCACCTGAGCCTTGCACAGCGCCACCTTGTGCGCGTTCACCACTTGGCGGCTTCATGCCTGGAGGTGACCATCCCTCCGGCCTGCTGAAGCACTTGAACCAAGGATGCCCGACCTTCTTGCAGTACCAGCAGGTGCCCTCCATTCTGGTACTCCCCCTGCCACTGGAGCTCCCATGCCCCTCATTATAGTCACCTCGGCCTCTACCTCTGCCAAAGCTTCTCCCACGGCCTCGGCCTCTCCAACCCCCTCTTCCTCTGCCGCGCCCTGCAGCTCCATACCCCTCAGCAGTCTTAGTGGCAGCACCGCCTCCCACATGGCGTCTGCGGAAGTCCTCCTGCAGAATCTGCTGCCTTAGCCACTCAGGTGTCCATTGATCTTGCTGAGAGTTGAGGGTGGGGATGAGGTTGTCCCAAGAGTTGTCCAACACCGAGATGATCTTGGTGCACTGCTGCAGCTGAGATACACTGCTGCCCGCTGCTGCCATCCTTGCATAGGTGTCCTTGATCTTGTCAAGGACTGGCTTCACATCGTCCCCTGGTCGCATGGAGATGGCAGCAAGTTCCTTCTCGAGCACGATCACCATCGGGAGAGTGTTGGGCTGAATCACATCGCGTAGTAGTTTCCACGCCCTTGGACCCGAATCATCCGCTTCCACAAGATCCTTGATGTGCTCGAACATCTCCTTGTTGACCGATTGAAGGATGAGGTCGAAAAGCACCGCGCTTTTCTCAATCCACCGTTCACGTGCTTCGCCTTCTTCCGGCATCTTCTCTTCCCCAACAGCAATCTTCAGTAGCTTGTAGCGTTTGAAGGCACTCCTCATCCGTCCGCTCCATTCCTTATAGTTGGAGCCATCCAAAGCTTCAACTTTTGATGGCGGCGGCTCACTTGTCTTCTCAGCTACAGCTCCTCTTCCATTAGCATCTCCTCCTCTCTCATTCATCTTCTCCTTGAGAAATGACGAATTTCAGCCCCTCTTTGCTGTCCACACTCAGCTCCCTCGATATTTTCACAAGTGTCGGCGTCCACGAAATTTCGGCAGAGTTTCCCTTAGCGGAAGACACATCCAACCTTTAGAACACCACTTAGGCACACCCACAGGCCATGGTGGGTCTAGAAGGGTCTTCACACTTCTGTAGACTCCTCTCAACGTCCTTAATACAGCTCTGATGCCACTTGTTAGAATTAAGGACGGAGTCTAGGTGAACTTAGGAGCTAGAATTACTCAAAATATATATCCGAAATTCTGGACAGAAAAGTCGTCTTCACAAGAAACGACGTCGACAAAAACCTAGCCGTTGGAATGTCGCGAAACTTGGATATGTTGTAGCTCTTAATCTCAGCTACCGTTCCCAATTTGAATCACGTTGATTGATGAAGTATTCGCGACGCTATGGCTTTCGACGCACTAGGGGGTAAGCTGTAGGAGGAGAACTTAACTCAATCTCAAGAGTTCAATGAAAGTTCAAGAATCTCACAAGGAATTAGAAGGAGCAAGAGAAAGGTTGGGATAGGAAGAGAGGGATGAGAGGGAAGGTCCCAAGAGAGTCCCCAACCAAGGAAACCCCATAAGCACAAAGATTCCCTCCCTATAGGAACCCCAACTTTGACATTTGTCCCTTCCCAACCAATCCATCCAAGTTGGCCACCCTTGCCAACCTAGCTTGGTTGTTCCCAACCAATTTGCAGCTGTTACAGTAGAGTGACAAGTTTCCCCAACCCCAAAGGTCCCAACTCCATATAGAGTCACCCCACAACTTCACTTTGTAACCGCCGCAATTGTAACGCAAGCTCATGAACTTTGAATCTTCATAGCTTTCGCGTTCTTGCTCCGATTGAAGGGATTCTCGTTGCGTCGGAAAGATCTTCTCAAGATCTATCATCACAAAAAACCTGCTCAAACAAAATAACACAAAACACATTCCCAAACTCCAGAACACATCACACACAAATTCTTGCACACGTTCAAACCACACATGCAAGTTGAAAAAAATATGGGATGGGAGGCAGACAGAATGTGATAGCATATGATGACATCACACAACAGTCTGGCCTTAGCGAATAAAGAGGGACGGGTCGGTAGAGGACTGGAAGAACCGCAGGTCTGCCAACGTAGCATGCAGCGTGTCGTGCCACTCATGGGGCACCTGCCGCACACCGTAAATCTGGCACCAGAGGAACCATTGGATCCCAAGAGGGAAAGTGCAAGAGAAGCCTGGCGGGCGGCGCGGGTAGATCTGCTCATGCAAATGACCCTGGAGGAAAGTTGTGGAGAAGTCAAGCGAGTGTAGCTCATAGTCGCGCTGTGCTGCTACTTGAAGGAGCGCCCGAATAGTGGTCATCTTCGGGGTCAGGGCGAAGGTCTGAAAGAAGTCAACGCATTCGCGCTGACTGAAGCCTCTAGCAACGTAGCGCACCTTGAACACCGGCGGCTCTCTAGGAGGGCGCTTCACCTTAAAGAGCCACCGGCCATCGACTATGTTCGCCCCAGGTGCGGGAACTGTGTCGACGTATGTGCCGGTGGATTTCCAAGATGCCATCTCTGCGTCCATGGCAGCTATCCGCTAAGAGGCCCAGGGTCCCAAAGTCGCCTCAGCGTACGTGGGAGGAGTCGGGCTGTCAAGAGCATCCGGGCCACCCTCAGGGGATAGCATCATGGAGCAGAGATGAGGAGCAGGCTCAGAAAGGAAAGCTATCACATACTGCATGTCCTCTAGGACGTCACTGCCAAGGGCAGGTGCATCCCTGACGGACGGAGGACGGGCAGGGTCAGAGACCAGAGCAGTTGCGTAGTCAAGGCGGCGGGTAGAGGTGAATTCAGCGACAGCAGCGATAAGATCCGAGAGACTGGAGACAAGAACGGACGGGTCGGTAACAGGAGAGGCAAGGACTCGAGGAACAAGAGGACTAGCAGCACGAAGGAAGTCAGGGAAAGGAGGCGGGGAGACATCGAGACGACTGAGGAGGCGATGGGAGAAGAGGAGCAGGAGGAGCATAAGACGCATGAGAACTTAGAGACATAGGGTGGACGCTCGGAGTGGGAGAGACAGGACGAGCATGAGAGGGACAGTGAGACCACCAGCGAGAGGGCGGCATGGGGTCAGGAGACAAGGGAGGAGACACCGGAGGAGAATGAGGGGGGAAACGAGCCGGGAACGAGTTTGGTGGAGGGAACACAGGGCCATAGACAGGTAGAGGAGGCGGCGTCGGGAGAGGCGCGGGCGGGGGGCCGGGGGAGGGAAGACCGTGGAGGTGAATGACGGACACCGAGGAGGGAAGACCGAAGGCTGCTGCTGCTGCTGCTCCGTGCCCCCACCGAAACCTCCAGACACTCCATTGCTGCCTCCAAGACTCATCACGACAGCACCCCTAGGACTAGCACCCTCAGGACCAACATGCCTAGGACTAGCACCCCCACAACAAGAACCCTCCGTAGAGTTCGCACCCCCAGTGCCAACACCCCCAACGCCCACTGACCCTTGCTGCTGCGGCGATTGCTGCTGCTGCTATGATGGCGGCGATGGCTGCTGCTGCGACGGCGGCGATGGCTGCTGCTGCGGCGGCCGCTGTGACAACTGCTGCTACTGCGATGGCAGAGGAGACGCCGGTGCCGAGGGTGCAGGCCTGCTGGAGTCAGCAGAATCCTCCGCGGGGCCAACTGATGGAAGGGAAGGGACGTGAGACATACCAGACAAGGCAGGACGGGGAGCGGGAGCTACTGGGGGAGTCGGGACAAGGAACAGGAGAGGGGTAACCAGGAGACCTCGGTGGGGAAAGTGGGTGTAGAAGGACACGGACTCCTCAAAAGTGACGTCATGTGAGTGAAAGAATCGGTGAGACGGCGGGTGGTAGAAGTGCAAGTCAGACGCGTCCAGGAGGAAACCATGAAAGACACAAGGGATGGTGCGGGCAGTGAGCTTGTTTGTGCAAGAGTCGGGAACGTAAGCAAGGCAACTCCAGAAGTGAAACGCAGACGCGTCACCAGGGGACCCGGTCCATAGAAGGGTCGGCAAAACCTGTGGCTGCTGGGAGTGCGGCCACATGTTAAACTGGTAAGTGGCGTAGCGCACTGCGAACGGTTACAGAAAATGGGGTGCACCGGCATGGATCATGGAGGTACGAGCCACCTCCATAACCAAACCAATGCATCGCTCAGCGACCCCATCTGCTGTGGGGCGTCCGACAGTGTGTATGACTGGGTGATGCCCTCCGCACAAAAAAACTAACCAAGACGACTGAAGGCGAACTCCCCGCCACATTTGGAGTGGAGACGGAGCACTGGCGGGGCGCGGTGTACTCGCGCAGCTACAAGCCACGGGATAAGAACGACAGGCATGTCGGCCTTCCGCTCCAGGGGAAAAATCGTGGTGTAGTGCGTGTAGTCGTCTACGAGAACCATAAGGTAGCGCCGGCAGCACGGTCCAGGGAGAGGGGCTGGGCCCCAGACGTCCAAGTGCAGGGTCTGGAGTGGCACAGTGGTGGGGGGAAACGAGTAGGAGTGAGGAGCACGGTGTAGCCGTCCCTCGACGCAAGGCATGCACGGAGGTGTGGGCGAGGGAGGGAGAGCAGGGAGCGACGCAGGAAGACTTAAGACAAGACCGCGCTGGGGCATATGATGTAGACGGGGGAGTGCTGGATGACCTAGGCGGTAGTGCCACAGAAGCGACGGGTAAGTGAGCGACTGACACGAACAAGCTGCGGCCACTGGGGTAGACGCAGCCACCTAGGAGGATACAGCCAGCGGGGTCGGCGCGGTGTCCAGCGTGAACAGGCCAGACACCGGGTCCTGGGGGGACGTGGTGAGGGGGGACCAGTGGCGGTCTTAGTACAGACTGCGTACCGTTCGTGCCCAGGAAACGTAGTGGTGATGCCGAGGTCCTGAAGACACCCGACACCAACTAGGCTCCTAGTAGTAGTGTGGTCATGACGGTCACACAAGGTGCCACGAAGGGGACCAGACTGGATCTGGTACTGGCAACTCACAGAACTAGAGCCGCCACCCGACGTCGAGCTGCGAGGTCCGCCACTGCGGCCACCACCACTAAAGCCATCGGGCCACCACGGCGGCAGGGCCCCCCACTGCTGCTGCTGCTGCCGCTGCTGCTGCTGCTCCTGCTGCTGGTCCAGGGCGTTAGCCCCCACCCCCTTGTCCGCACCTCCTGCGCTAGCACCGTCTCCACCGCCCCCACCACCCGGTCACCCCCAGCATCCCTCCCTCCCTCTCACCCCCCTCTGGAGCGTCCACCCTTACTCTGATGATGCTGCAGTGGTCTCATCGACAGCAGTGGAAACGTCAAAGATGGACCGCCGCAGTACCGCTAGACCGAACGATAGTGTGCTGGCGGGTCTCTATCGCCGTCAGGGTGGTGACAAAGTCGGTATGGGAGTGGTCAGCGTGGTGGAGACTAAGGAAGGTATCGCGGGCTGTGGCTAGGCGGTCAGGGAGGCGCGTGGCTAGGAAATAAAGCGAAGCGCCGAGGGGGGGAGGAAGTACAGTAAGCTGAGCCCCAGTGCTAGCAGCACGGTAGCTAGTTTCAAGAGCGCGCAGGTGAGTCAAAGGTTCAGCGACAGTGGGGAAGGACGCAAGATCAGGGAAGAGCAAGGGCAGGAAGAGACGACCAGCAGAGGCGGGGGAGGGAGTGGAATTGCGAGCGATCACTGCATCTAGGTAGTCCTTTGCAATCTCTACGACTAGAATCTAGGACGCTCGGACAGGGGGAGAGCGTGGCTGATAGCAAGCTGTGCGACGGCGTCTCACGACTCCGAGACAGAGTAGGCGAGCTCAGCGGTGATAAAAGCCTCATGCTAGGCAAGCGTGGGGGCGTCAGGGAGGGCAGCAGGTGCGGGGGGGCAGGGTAGCTTACCGTCGACGTGGACGGCCAGGGATTGGCCATCCTGGCACTGACCCTTCAGCTGGCGGCGCACGTCTGCGAGCCACGCCACAAAGTCAACGATTGCGGTGGAGAGCAGTGGGGTGCGGTAGAGAGCAGTGGAGTTCGGTGAGGTACGGTGGAGTGCGGTGGAGTGTGGTAGTGTGCGGTGGAGCACGGTGAAGCTGCGAGAGAGGAGACAGCCGGCAGGAGCGCCAGCTCAGAGGGGAACCAGGGCCGGTGGCGTGGAGGGGCCGGCAAGGAGAGTTGGGGTGGCGCGGCGAACTGGGGCCAGAGGCGAGCTGGGGCGGCGCGGCGATCTGGGGCTGGCAACGAGCTGGGGGCCGGCGTTGAGCTGGGGCGGCGTGGCGAGCTGGGGCCGACGGCGAGCTGGGGCCAGCGTTGAGCGGGGGCGGCGCGGCAAGCTAGGGCCGACGTCAAGCTAGGGCGGCACGGTGAGCTAGGGCCGGCGACGAGCTTGGGCTGGCGGCGAGCTGGGGCAGCGCGGCGAGCGGAGGCCGGCAGCGAGCTAGGGGCCGTGCGGCGAGCTGAGGCCGGCGGCAAGCTGAGGGCGCATGGCAAGCTGAGGGCCAGCGACGAGTTAGGGCCAGCGGCGAGCTGGGGCCGGTGGCAAGCTGAGGCAGGCGGCGAGCTGGGGACGGTGGCTAGCTAGGGCCAATGACGAGCTAGGGTGGCGCGGCAAGATGAGGCCAGCACGGCGGGGTAGGGCGGCGCGGTGAGTCAGGGCCTGTGCGGCGGGCCAAGGCGGCGTGGTGGGACAGGACGATCGCGGCGGGCTAGGGTAGCGTGGTTGAATGAGGCCGGCGTAGTGGGCTAGGCCAGCGCGGCGGGACGGGGCCAGCTCGGCGGACTAGGGCAGCGCGGCAAGATGGGGCCAGCGCAGCGGGCTAGGGCAGCGTGGCGAAACGGGGCCAGCGTAGCGGGCTAGGGCGGCGCGGCGATACTAGGGTGGCACGGTGCGGCGGGATAGGTTGGGGCACTCTACGGTAGGCTAGGGCAAGG